AGAAATTTGTGGAGTGGTTGAAAAACAAGTTTTAATGACTCCAACCTAAGTGTATGTAAACTTCCGACTTCAACTGTATATGCCAATTAGGAATGAGGGGGATGATTAGGTGGCCATGATGGAATGTGGCCAGGTTGGGAATTTAGCCAGGACACTGGGGTGAACACTCCTACTCTTACAATAAGTGCCATGGGATTTTGATAGACCACAGAGAGTCAGGACACCCGTTTTAACGTCCCATCCGAAAGACGGCACCCTACGCAGTGCAATGTCCCCAAATGTAATCACGGTTTGAAATGCTTATGTTTTAGTCAAATGTTACATCTGTTTGGGCTTCATTCTGTCAATTTGCAGTCTAAAAATGTATTTTTATTATGTTACGGCCCCCCGACCATCCACTCAAGAAGAAATTGGCCCGCGGCTGAATCTAGTTGATGATGCCTGCTATATAGGGTATGACAGTGATTAATCAGTTGTGAAAAGGTTTTGTACAAGCTATGATGGGACCAGTTTTTCTAATCAGGTCACATGGTTTTAAAAAACTCCTGGGAAAAACCCCTGGCCCTGGGGAGGATGAAAACCCTGCCAAACTGCAGCAACCTTATACTTGTTCATATGAATTATATTTAGACTAGACTAACAGGGGTGGTTCCTCTACCCAGACACAGAGACAACAACTGATCGACAATAGAACTCACAGGGCTGAGCTTGCTTCATGCATGTTTGCATCATGCAGGCCTATGCAATTGTAGGCCTAATAAATAATTAACTCACAGGCCTCCCGAGTGGCGCAGCGGTCTAAGGCACTGCATCGCTACAGACCTGGGTACGATCCCAGGCTGTGTCGCAGCCGGCCGCGACCGGGAGACCCATGAGGCGGTGCACAATTGGCCCAGCATCATCTGGTTTAGGGGAGGGTTTGGCCAGCCGGGATGTCCTTGTCCCATCGCGCTCTAGCGACTCCTTGTGGCGGGCCGGGTGCATGCACGCTGATTTTGGTCCAGGGCTGTACGGTGTTTCCTCTTACACATTGGTGCGGCTGACCTCCGGATTAAGCGAGCAGTGTGTCAAGACGCAGTGCGGCTTGGCAGGGTCATGTTTTGGAGGACGCATGGCTCTCGACCTTCGCCTCTCCCGAGTCCATACGGGAGTTGCAGCGATACAACTATCAATTGGATATCACGAAATTGGGGAGAAAAAAGGGGGTAAAAAGTACAGAAAAAATATATATATATTGATATAACGTATTTCTATACAGTATTGGTTAATGTCGTTGATCTCTTATAGAGAGGATAAGGACACGCCATGGGTTGTTTATGTCAATGGTGGGTGACAGAAGGTCTGCGTGCCAAGATGGATTGGGGGCCACTTGTGCTAATTTTAGAAGGAGTACGTGATGGAATAGCCTGGCTAGGGTGCCACACGATACCATGTAAGGAGATCCTATTGTAGGAGATGAGTGACACTCAATAATGGTTGGCAACTGTTGGATGGAATTAGCTCTGAAAGCATTATATAACTGATAGGTTTTTCTATGTAAGTCATTCGGATGACAATAGGCTACGCCCGTACCGCTTGTCATATGAATCCAGTACTGTAACTATTAAATAACTATGAATCAACTCTCCATCTAAGTGTTCAACTACTCTCTTGCATCCTAAACTTCTCAATACCAGAAAACTCGTCATAACTGATATCCATATATATTTATTTTTTACTCACAGTCTATGTCATCACTATTATGTTGATTGATTAATTCCAGTTAACAATTTTGGATTGAAAAGTTATAGGCAGCCTAGCCAGCCCAAGTTAGAATATAAACCATATTTCATCACATTCACATTTTCTGCTGACAAACAAATGGACTTTAAATAAATAACCCTACCAATTTGTTCACCCTGAACAGATGGACAGGACGAAAGGCTGTATGCAGTTGGTATTATTAGTAGCCTACAGTTGATCAGACTGAAAAATAGTCTCGTTTTCATCCCATACAGCATGTCAGATCTCTCATGTTTAGGTGTAGCCTAGACTGCTGCAACATTTATGTTATGAGTTTTTGCTTGCGTCTGTCCCTGAGTGATTATGTGTTATCACCTTTGCTAAATAAATACCAGAGGAAAGTAGAAAGCCTACTTGAGCGGGAGTGAAAAAAGTACATTTTAATATATTACAAGTATACTAAAGTATACTTAAATATACAAAAAAATCCAATAATATACTTCAAATACGAGATGTTTTTTTCTAGTAAATCTGAAGGAGGCTGACACTTGGCAACAAGTGGATCTTCCAGCAAGACGATAACACCAATCACAAATCATCCACAAAGAAATGGTTAATTGACCACGACTTTTTGGGGGCTGAAATGAAAAATTACATAAAATAAAAAATGGATTTTTCTCTATCCTCCCCTGATTCAGAATATATCATTTTTATAGTCATGGCATGCTTTTTTAAGAACTATTGAAGATTGAAATCCGACATAAGAAAATAAAAATAGAAGTGGATTGTTCTCCATCCACCCTTGATTCAAAATATACCATTTTCATAGTTATGTCATGCTTGGTTCAATAGCTGACGAGAGAAGACTGAATATCCACCGAATATCCAATATAACACTCATTTTACCTTGGTATCTCAGTCTTCGGACTTGGGATATCAAGGATCGGGAAAGATTTTGTATAGAGGAATGGTCTAACATCCTTCCCAATGTGTTCTCCAATCTCATAAAACATTTTACAAAAAGGCTCAGTGAACAGCGTACCACTTTTAGCTGAACAGCGTCCCACTTACCTTAAAACACCCATACCATTTAATTACTTTACTTATAACGGTTTGGGACTTCTGGGACAGTCACGTGACGTCCTGATGACTAGTAAAACAAATGTCTTGAGAACATCTTACAAACGTCCTGACATGGTCCTCAGTGACATCCTCGGAACTTACAGGGAACTAGACAAAGGTCCCCCAGAGAACGTTCCTTTGGGACCATCATGAAACGTCCCCTTGTGGTCATTGAATGTCCCATGGATAACGTCCAATCAGAACCAAATAGGAACTTTTTCCTAATGTTCCCTAATGAACATCAAAATACCTTATTATAACGTTATACTGTGACCAAACCGGGACCTGTACTGAACATGCTCTTAAGGTCCCTATGTTAACGTCATGTTTTAATGTTCCTAGAACGTTGTCAGAACGTCAGTGGGATAACGTCGCGCCGAAACCCTTAAAGGGACCTAATGGGAACGTTGCCTAATGTTCGTAGGACATCCCCTGTTTGCTGTGTAAACTCATGTCTGATGCTACATAGTTCATCTCCTTAGACCTAGATGTAACTATTAGTAGCAATTGTTGTGTGTCCTGTCTTCTCTAAAATATAGAGATTATGTAGAAAAAGAAAATCGAGAAATAAACATTCTGAGCCAGAGCTAGAGGTATTTTTGTGTTGCAAAAACGCATTTGCAAAAATGACCTAAATCATAATGACCTGATATTAAAATAAATACATACATTTATTATTTTAAAGAGAACAAGCATTTAACAACTCTGCACCAGACAGGAGGTGTTTTTATTATTATAACTATGTTATATACAGTTAAGAGCATAGAGAGTAGACAACACAGTACTGAATATTGTGATATTGAATAGACTAGAGAGTCTTGTGTGAGAGCACAGATGCATCACACAGGGTTTGGCATCAAAGGACATGACAGAATGTTCTCAGGAGAGCAGCTGTCCATGCCAGGCACCAGGCAAGCTTCCCCTCTACTCCTTTATACCATCCTCTCTGTTTCTCACTCCATAGCGTTCCCTGAAATCATTTTATTTTTTCTCCTTTGCCTTGTCGAACTTTCCCTCCCTCCCTCCCTCCCTCCCTCCCTCCCTCTCTCTCTCTCTCTCTCTCTCTCTCTCTCTCTCTCTCTCTCTCTCTCTCTCTCTCTCTCTCTCTCTCTCTCTCTCTCTCTCTCTCTCTCTCTCTCACTCACTCACACTCACACTCACACTCACACTCACACTCACACTCACACTCACACACACACACACACACACACACACACACACACACACACATACACACACTCCCCCTCCCACCCCATACCTCTCTTTCTCCATCATGCTATCCCTGCTATATCTGGCAAAGCTCTTAGAAATGCCAAGGGGAGACACAATGTGGAGGCATCCTGCTACAGCCCTGCTGTCTTCCGGCATGTTAGCAGCTGGTCAAAGTAAAGTCCGATCCTTCTGCACTCAGTGCGAAGGCTGTCAGAGGAACAGGCACACATAGAAATCTTAAGAGGATTTTTGCATATATTTTCTTGTTTTATTTGTGCTGGCCATACATCAACATTTAGAAAAATGGCATTCTCACGGATACTTATTCAATTCACCATGGGTCTACACAACTCCTAAACTGTAAGTAGAAAGAAGGAATCTAGCCATGTTTGAATGTTTTTTCCCTTCTGTGAACAATTATTTATCATTGCTCTTAGTTTGTTGTTGTTGGCATTGGGTTTTGAGATAAGTCATGAAAAGGTGGATGACTATGTTATGATTGGAATTGTCTAAGGGTCTGAAAGTAAGAATATTCATTATTTATGCTGAGAATCGTTCCCAGGATACCCATTCTCTCTCACGTGGACATCATTCTTCATGGTCTCTTCCCATTGTAGCACTCATCTTTTACAGAGTTCTGTTTAATAAGAAACTTGCTCTGGTCAATCTTTTTGCTCATTTATTTATAATGGAAGTATTTTTTTATGGACCCAAACTAATTGAAACATATAATTATACATTTACCTTAAATTGATGCTAAGCTATTCTATGAAATTGACATTTTCTGAATTAAGCTATATAAAATTACAATGAGTAGAATAGGGGGACTGGACTGTAATCGTCACATAAGCGCTTTAGCGCAATTAGTCTGATTTCAATGCATGCATTCTGTTCATTGTTACGTGGCTGTTGTCCTGATGGTGTTTCTCTTCCTTTCTCTCCAGATGGCCACCCTGCAGCAGCAGCAGAACTCTCTGATGAGAAAGGTGAAGAGGACCCTGCCCAGCCCGCCTCCAGAAGAAAGCCCTCTCCCCATCGTCACCCCAGCCATGTCCCACATGTACAGCAGCTCTCCAGGGATGCAGCCCCAGAGGGTGCTGCCCAGGCCCGCCCAGGGGGTCACTAAGGCCGGCCTGCTGAGCGAACTGAAGGCCGTGGAGCAGGAGTCTACCAAGCTCCGCAAGCAGCAGCAGGAGTTGGAGGAGGAGGAGAAGGAGATTGACGCCAAGCTGCGATACCTGGAACTGGGCATCCATCAGCGCAAGGAGACCCTGGTGAAGGAGAGGGAGAGGAGGGAGCTGGCCTACATGCGCTGCATGGGCGACGCCCGCGACTACATGTCGGACACAGAGCTCAACAACCTGAGGATGGTTGCGGCCACGGGGACGTTCGATGGTAACGGTCTGCTGACGAGGCCCAGCACGGCGCCGCTGAGCCAGTTCACCAACGACCTCGGCCCGGCCTACCAGTACCCGCCCACCTCCTCCTACATGGCCTATCAGTACCCACAGAGCCAGCCCACGCCCACACAGCAGCCAACCGCTGCTTACCAACAGATCGGTTTCCAGCCCCCTCAGTACCCAACAGCCGGCCAGCCCCAGCCAGGCACCTTCCAGCCCCACCCACCCCAAGGCCCAGGTTACCAGACCCAGCCAGGCTACCCAGCCCACGGGGGCTACGGCCAGCCTTCCTTCCAGACAGACTTGGGCATGCAGCAGCATAGCCACCAGGGTTTCCAGCCTCCCAACCCCTCTATCCCGGGCCAACACCTCCCCTACCCAGGCCAGAGCCCCTACCCTGGCCAGGGGATGTCCTATCAGCCCCAGGCTGAGATCCTCACCGTCCACCAGAGGCCTCGTCAGACCTCCCTGGCCGACCTGGAACAGAAGCTGCCCACCAACTACGAGGTGATCAGTAACCCTGCCGTGTCGGTGGCCACATCAGCTCCAGACACCTGCTTTGGCTCAGTCTATGCCTCTAACACCATGCCCAACGCCTACGGGCAGTATCGCCCCCCGGAGCCTGTGCTGACCCACGGCGTGGACAGCCCCACATCAGCCTATGCTGCAGACGGCCTCTACACCTCCAACCTGGAGCAGAACATCCCCAGGAACTACGTCATGATTGACGACATCAGCGAGCTGACCAAAGAGAACACGGGCCCTGCTGTTGATGCTCTTGTCCATCCAATAGGAGGACGCTACGGTGAGAATGGCCCCGTGCGCCAGACTGGTTACGGCAATGAGCCTGTGGACCCATACATGCCTGCAGGCACCACGGGCTACCACCAGCAGGGCGCTGTGGACCCCAGGACCAGCACTACTGGGGGATCTTCTTATTACTATGACGACTATAATAAACACCCCAGCACAACACGTCCAGGGGGCCCAGGGACCCAGAAACACCCATCCAAGAATCTGGCCCCTGCCGTGGTCTCCTCCGGTAAGCGCAGCAAGCACAGGAAGCAAGGCATGGAGCAGAAGATCTCAAAGTTCTCCCCCATCGAGGAGGCGCGGGATGTGGAGTCTGACCTGGCCTCTTACACCATGACCACCTCCACCGGCGGCAGCTGCACCGTGGTATCCCGGTCCGGAGTGAAGAAGAGCGGCTACGACCAGCAGAAGTACTATGGCGGCCAGCCTGGAAGCCGGGAAGCACTGGAAGAGGAGGACCGGATGTACGGCTCGGGGAGATCCCGGTCTACAGGCTACGGCATGGACAAGATCTCCTCCAGGGACACCTCAGGCTACAGGAGCAAGTCCTACGAGAGGGATGCCATGGAGCGGTCTCAGAGAGGTAGCCGTGGTGGACGGAACTCAGAGGAGGAGAGCCCCCTCAGCCCCGTGGGGAAGCCCGTTGGAATCGGACGAGCCGGCACTGGGGTACCAGGTGACCCCCATGACGTGAGGAACCAGTACGGCTCCAGCCACTCCCTGCCGGACGTCCAGGATCACCACATGAAGGACATGCCCAGGAGCCACGTGTACAAACCAGATGATCCATACCTTGTAGACGACATGCATGCAGCCGTGTCGGACAGCGAAGGTAACTGGTGCTGAATGCCACTAACTGCCTGACCTCCTCTGTCTCTTTGTCTTCTGGAAAGAGTCTGCATGCCAAGTGTAGTCTTCAGAGCAGCATGACGGTTCCTTCTGTTTTGTGACTGTTGAAAAGACGTGCATGTTGTGCCCAATGCATAAACCGCATATGCCTATGTTAAGTTTCTCTTTTTCTCTTTTTGCATGCTGAAAACATTTTTCTTTTTTTTGTTTTGTGATTTGACACGTTTTTGCTGTTTTTTGTTTGACTCTGAAAGACTTTGCATGTTTCTGAGACTTTGGGCCCATCTTTTTGTCTGTCGTCTGCATGGCTTCAGTTCAGTCTGATTGTCTCCTCTCTTCTCCTCTCTACACATCACAAAAGGAAACTGACTGATGATAATCTTTGTTGTCCAAAAAGCCTATCATCTGGGTCAGGAGGAGACCGACTGGTTTGAGAAGCCGAGGGAGGCTCGCGCCAACCGCTCCAGACACCACGGGAGCGCAGGCCACATCTCCACTGGTAGACAACAGACCAGCGCCAATGTGAAGCACACCTACCACGACTACGACGAGCCCCCCGAGGAGCAGGACCTGTGGCCTCAGGACGAGTACAACAACCAACCTCGCCACCCCTCGTCCACCTCATCATCCCGTGACCACCGTGGTCATCATGGCAGTAGCGGCGGCAGCTCGGGGAGGCACTCCTCTTCCCGCCACTCCGGCGAGGAGCCCCGGTTGTCCAGCCGCTCCTCCAGAACACACCCCAAAGACCCATCCACCCGCTCTGAGGGCCGTGGATCCTCCTCCACCCAGAAGAGGGGAGGCTCGGACCCCCGTTCCTCCCGGGAGGGCTACCGGGACCGGGACTCTGGGGACTACTCCTCCCGTGACCCGGCCTCCGGACACCACCGCGAGGGCACCGGGGGCAGGGGTCAGAGGCCGCCGGGCTCGTCCTCCAGGAGACAGGAGGGGGTGCCCTCTGCAGGGGCCAAGCAGGGCCAGGGGCAGCAACCCCAGGGCGGTCCAGGCGGGCCCCAGCAGCAGGGGCAGCGTTCCAGTGGGCAGCCCCAGTCAGGCAGGCAGCCTGGGTCCCAGGGGCCAGACGGGGGACAGCCGGCCCAGCAGCCTGGCCAGCAGCAGCAGCAACGCACCCAGCAGCAGCAGCAGCCCCTGCAGCAGAGCCAGCTTCCTCAGACCACTGCTGGGGGGCCTCAGGCCAATTCAGGCAACGCGGGGCCAGGACCCATGGCAGGACCAGGGACAGGAGCAGGGACAGGAGCAGGGACAGGAGCAGGGACAGGACCAGGGACAGGACCAGGGACAGGAGCAGGGACAGGAGCAGGGACAGGAGCAGGGACAGGACCAGGGACAGGACCAGGGACAGGACCAGGGACGGCACAGCAGCAGGCTAAACCTGGCCAGACTCCGGCACAAGGCCGGCAGCCAGCAGGACCCACCGCAGGCCAGCCACCAACCACAGCCGTAAGTACACCTTAGATGGGGTTGGTAGTTCAAGATCCATTGAATGTCATGTGAAAATGGATTATCCTTGTAATAATTGTGATTTTTTTTGTGATCTTACTTTACACCTCTTGGTGAACAGCTAGACAGTAAAGATTTTGTTTCCCTCTCTTTCTGTTTTGTGACAGGCGACCCCTGCTACACCTGCAGCAGCCATTGGGGGGGCCAAACCTGCAGCAGCCATTGGGGGGGCAGCAGCAGCACAGCCTCCCAAGACAGCCACACCCCCCCTCATAGGCATTGGTGAGACTGACATCTCCCCTATAGTCACACTGCATGAATACAGTACTCTATTTGCAAACTCAAACACAGAATAACATAGTACCCAAACACAGAATAACATACTACCCAAACACAGAATGGCAACTACCCACACCCAGAATGACATACTACCCAAACACAGAATGACATGCAACCCAAACACAGAATGACATACTACCCAAACACAGAAGGACATACTACCCAAACACAGAATGACATGCCCCCGACATACCCTCTGACAGTGTTGTTGTTGTTCCTCTGCAGGCTCTAAAGCAGCCCCTCCTGGAGGGATAGGTAGCAGGCCTGGTGGGATCGGCAGTGCAGCGGCAGGCCAGCTCCCAGCGGACGGGGGAAACGTTCTCACCAATATCCTGGGAGGGGCGGGAGGGGCTGCCGAACAGGCAGGGAAACTGGGTGATGGTAAGGCCCCGAGTACCTGAATACTGGAGCATGGCACAGATACGCTGGGTGCATCTCAAAAGAGTCCTATGGGCCCTGGTCAAAAGTAGTGCACTATAGAGGGAATAGGATGTAATTTGGGACACGACAAGAGTCTGATGTGGAAGGAATTACAGTTGAACAATTCCTGTATGGTGTGTGTGTGTGCATTGGTGGAAAAAGTACGCAATTGTCATGCTTGAGAAAAAGTAAAGATACCTTAACAGAAAATGACACAAGTAAAAGTGAAAGTCACCCAGTAAAATACTACTTGAGTAAAAGTCTAAAAGTATTTGGTTTTAAATATACTTAAGTATCAAAGGTAAAAGTATAAATTATTTCAAATTCCTTATATTAAGCAAACAAGACGGCACCATTTTCTTATTTATTTTATTTACGGATAGCCAAGGGCGCACATCAACACTCAGACTTAATTTACAAATGAAGCATTTGTGTTTAGTGAGTCCGCCAGATCAGAGGCAGTAGAGATGACCAGGGATGCTCTCTTGAAAAGTGTGTGAATTGGAGCCTTTTCCTGTCCTGCTAAGCATACAAAATGTAACGGGTACTTTTCGGTGTCAGGGAAAATGTATGGAGTAAAAAGTACATTATTTTCTTTAGGAATGTAGTGGATTAAAAGTAAATGTTGTCAAAAATATAAAAAGTAAAGTACAGATACCCCCAAAAACGACTTAAGTAGTACTTTAAAGTATTTTTACTTAAGTACTTTACACCACTGTGTGTGTGTCCTTAGTCATTGATGTTCTTTCTTAGCGATTGAACATAATGCAAACATGGATCCTTTATAAGATGTACTGTACACCCCTACTACAGAATATTCTGTGAAAATGTAGTATTGTACTAACTTACTGTCCTAAACATTATTCTTTCTTTCTTTCTTTTTATTCCCCTCCTTCCCCATCTATTCTCTATCACTTTTACACAGCTATTTCTGGCCTCGGCAAGAAGTTCACTTCGTTTTGGTGAACGGAAGAGAGGAGGGTAAATGCAATTGATTTGTTTGTGATTTTCTTAGATGTAAGGTTTACTTAGTTGACACTTGCACTTTGCTTGTGTGTTGTGGAAGTCCCAGGGGTGAGGGACAGCTTGTGTTTGTCTTACAGGGTATGAGGAGTTGAGATGGAGGGGGATTGGAGGCTCGGTACTGGAAAAACCTATGAAACTGTTCACAGCATTTTATACATTTCACTATCACAAGGAAACGGAGGAGGAGGGAGGAGGAGGGTACCTGAGCGCATCAGTGAGTATCTCATTACCTCTCCCTTCCCTTACGAGATGAATACATTTCTTAACACATTGGGGCTCTGGGCCTTGTCTTAGGAGAAAAATTGTGTAATGAGGGATTTTTTATAGGATAGCGAATCATTATTCTGTGGGCCCCAGTTTGTGTGTGTGTGCATGCATGTCTGTGTGTCCTTGCGTGCATGTGTGCGTGTCTGTTTGTGTGCATGGAAACACAGTATGCTCCCCCCTTGACCTCTGCTTATTTTCATGATGTATATGAGTGTTTATTAAATATTGACATATATGGAAATAGCTTTAATCTTTTTCGGAGTTAAATATTCACCCATCAAAGTAGGAATACTATCATCAATGTTTAAGGTTAGGTTTAATTCTGTACGGGATACAGATTTGCATCCCCAGTGGCACCTATTCCCTATATAGTGCACCACGTCTGCTCAAGGCCCATAGATATCTGGTTAAAAGTGCACTAGGTAGGGAATAGGGTGCCATTTCGGACGCAGAGAGTATCTTCAAGCAGTGGCAGCAGTCCCACACTGTGATGGATAAAGTGTTGTGTCAGCTTGATATTTGCATAGATTAACATAGATCCATGTCTGCATAATGCATAATGTAGAAGCATGAGTGAACTGATGACTCATTAAGTACTGTAATTGTAGATTCTGTCTGACCAGCTGGGTGCATTTTTCTCTCATTTTAAGCGAGAGCGAGAGGCGAGAGTCGAGATAGAGCGCAGAGATAGCATAGAGAGGAGGAGAGAGAGAGAGAAGAGAGAAGAGAGAGAGAGCGGAGGGGGGAGGAAAAAGAGAGAGAGAGAGAGCGCAGAGAGGAGAGAGAGAGGAGAGAGGAGAGCGCCGAGACGAGCGCAGCGCGCGACGAGAGCGGGGGAGAGAGAGAGAGAGAGAGAGGAGAGAGAGGAGAGAGAGAGAGAGAGAGAGAGGAGAGAGAAAGGAGAGAGAGGAGAGAGCGAGGGGAGGGATCTCTCTCTCTCCTCTCTCTCTCTCTCTCTCTCTCTTCTCTCTCTCTCTCTCTCTCTCTCTCTCTCTCCTTTGTCTTTCCCTCTCTCGCTCTCTCTTTTTCCCACTTTCTATTTTCTCTCACCCCACGTTACCACCAATCAGGGCTGGAATCAAAGGATGCCTGATCAGCACTGAATTCCCCAGACATGAGCACACAACATGAGCAGAATTAGAATGGGTGGATGCTTTGTCAGCACTGGCTGGGATCTCCAGACATGAGCAGAGGATTGAAGAGAGGACGAAGTGGATGGATATCAAGTCAAAGCGGGGGTCCCAAGCATGAGCAGACGATTCAAGAGAGAGACTTCTGCTGTTGCCTCTGCTGGCTGTAAGTGAAGATCAGACGTATATTAATCCAGCGTGTGTGTGTGTGTCTCTGTGCGTGTGTGTTTGTGTGTATGTCTCTCTGTGTGTGTGTGTCTCTGTGTGCTCAGTTTATAGTGCATTTTCAGTTAATTGGTTCTCTGCTGTGTCAAGTCAGGTAAACAGAATGACTGTGTCCATGTTCTCCCTCTGCTGGAAAGGTCAGAGGTTAGAGCCCAGGATAGGTCCAGGAGGTTTACCCATTCACTTTTCTACACAGAGCACTATAATTAGTCAATGGATGAGCAGACTAACCATGGCTTTACTGTCCTTCCATACACACACATGCACACATGCAAACATGTACGCACGCTCACATACACACACACACACACACACACGCACAGACACACAGACATGCACACACACATACTGAGGCCCACAGAATGATGATTCCCTATCCTATAAAAAATCCCTCATTACATGGACTAACACAGATAACAACACAATAGAATTGATTTGCAAACAAAATACATTTCAATGCATTTCTATTGGGCCCCTATTCAAAACACATGATGACTAATTGGGTCCTGCTTTCTCTTTCTGGCCACTGCTATCTCTACTAGAACTAGTTATTATTGCATCTGGGTTGACTCTTGGTATGATATCACAGGCCGTGACACCGGGTGCCTCTCTGTGTGTGGGGCGGGGATGAGGGATCCAGTGATCCAGTGATCCAGTGCAGCGATCTAGAGATAAACCCAGCTCAGTGCCTCTTTGAGCCGCAGGCAAGCCTACTCAGCCCTGGGGATTACTGACAATCCCAGCAGGGCTCTGATTGGCTGCAACCGTCCTGGGAGGGAGGGGCTTGGGACATAGTGGCGAGTTTGTTTTGCATGGCATGGTGCCCCTGGTGGTCGGAGTTTGCACATTTTAGACCATTCCATTGGTCATTAAGTGAAATCTCCACCCACCCGGGGCACCGGGCAATGCGAAACAAACTGGCCCAGTGACACGTATGGGGGTAGTGAAACTGGAAGCACTCAGCGTGGCTGTCTTGGGCCAGTTATGAGGTCGTAAATAGGGGGTGTGGTCTGTTTTAGTGAGGTGTCAACTCGTGGTGGGTGTGGCCGACTACTGTACAGCCACAGGCGTACTGTACGTTAGAAGTATAGTGTAACTGGTCTATTTACATTTATTTTTATTTAACATTTAACTAGGCATGTCAGTTAAGAACAAATTCTTATTTACAATGACGGCCTACACCGGCCAAACACGGACGACGCTGGGCCAATTGTGGAGGAGAAGGTCACGTGCAAAACTCAGTAAATTAAGACTAACCTTTCTAATCAGTCATATTGCAGAGCTTGTATTTTTTGCCCTATTTTAGAGCTCGGAGCTTAAAAAAAAAAAAGTATTATTATGTTGAGTTTTCACAGAATTGTTCCCTGGTATTATGACGTGGGACTGGTTCCTGTGGCACTAGAATGTTGGCCACTGGATGCCCCTCCATGCTGCATGAGCTCTGGCTCAGGGATTTAAGGGAATTCCATGAAAAAAACACAGTGGTTCTCTTTCTCTCTCTCTCTCTCTCTCTCTCTCTCTCTCTCTTTCTCTCTCGAAAGGACACTGAGCTGAACCATGTGTGAGGAACGACAAAGGGAATTGTGTGTGTATGTGTGTCTGCGTGTCTGCGTGTACGGCAGGCGTGTGCACACATAGTTATCCCTCCAGCGGTACAGTATTACAGTACTACAGCTCTCCTCTGCCCCCTTGAGGTGAAATCAAGTCCTGAAATCTTTCAAATCAAATCACAGTTTATTTATCGCACACACAGATCAGCAGATGTTAAAGCAGGTGCAGCGAAACGCTTATGTTTCTAGCTCCAGCCATAGTGGAGTTTGGAGTGTGACTGTTTGAGGTTGTGGACAGGTGTCTTTTATACTGATAACAAGTTCAAACAGGTGCCATTAATACAGGTAACGAGTGGAGGACAGAGGAGCCTCTTAAAGAAGTTGTTACAGGTCTGTGAGAGCCAGAAATCTTGCTTGTTTGTAGGTGACCAAATACTTATTTTCCACCATAATTTGCAAATAAATTCATAAAAAATCCTACAATGTGATTTTCTGGAAAAAAAAATCTCATTTTGTCTGTCATAGTTGACGTGTACCTATGATGAAAATTACAGGCCTCTCTCATCTTTTTAAGTGGGAGAACTTGCACAATTGGTGGCTGACTATATATATACTTTTTCCCCCCACTGTATAGGCAGTATAGACAATATAGGAGTAGGAAAAGGTACTTTATGTACAGCAGTAGTTATATAGGATGAGCTATGTCCAGAATACAGTACGTACCTATAAAGTGAGTAAACAATTATTTAGCTTAATTTCTCAGAGATCAAATAAAATGTCAACAAAATAATGTTGCAGTAACTCTATGGGACAATAATGAACACATCTCTGTGTACTGTAAATTGTATGTCCTATATTTTGCCTGTGTTTGTCATATGATTCAAATGCCTGTGACATATTGGATCCTAATGCAACACATACCGTATAGATTCAGTGCGTATTGTCCTCGTAGGGTTGCAACATTTAGGTACGTTTCCCCATAATCCCTGGTTTTCCAGAAATCTCAGTTGGAAGATTCTTGTAATCAGGAGGGTATAAACAGAACATCTGGGAATCTTCCAACCGGGATTTCTGGACAATCTGGGAATTTTGGGAAAGTTACCAGAATTTTGGAACCTTAGTTCTCAGTAGAAATGATCTCCAGGTGAGGGACACTGACCTTTGACCTTGTGTTTTCAGATGCACCAACAGAATGCCAGGGAGAGCCTGCCTCACAGCTCCCGTAGGAGAGTGAACGGGACAGCTACAATGCTCAGCTCCCTGTCGGTTGTCTGCTTACTGAGAGATAACACCTGATCCAGGAACAGAACAGGGAGCTGTCACACACCTTAGCCTTGGCTTCAGCATCTCTCAGCTCAAGGGGACAACAACGGATGATGCTGTTTTTTCATCTGAATCTCTTGTATCACTCGCTGAGGTTCTCCTGTTGGAAAACCAGGCCAGATGGGAGCGATTGTAGTAGAGGGAAGCTTCATAGTGCCCTCTACAGGGCATTGAGGGGAAGTCACTCTGTCTGAGGAATCCACATCTGACCAGAATCTACTCTGGATGAGTCCCAAATGACACCCTATTCCCTATTTGTGCACTACTTTCGACCAGGGTCCATTGAGCTCTGGTCAAAAGTAGTGCACTATATAGGAAATAGGGGGCCATTTGGGATGCAGAGTCTGTCTGAGGAGTCCACATCTGACCAGAATCATTCATGACTCCATGCTTTTGTGCTCAACGGGCCTTGTTACAGCATCACCATCATAACGCAATGGAGTAGGTAGATAGAGGTACACAGCTCATAGGTTTTACTAGTACCAAAGAGACTTCTTCGCTAACTATGACACTCTTAACTACTACACTGGAGGTGGCAAGACGTTACCACGGCGACAGACAAACAAACAAACTAACAATGCCCCTGTTATTAACCCCTTGAATGCTTGGTTTCTATGATCTCTACATTCCACTATAGGGAACGATGACTCTTTCTTTGAGTGTGTTTTTATTTTTCCTCCTGTTGTGATGATATGATGTCTACAGAATGCAACATGTAC